AGAAATAGATCCTTGGGGCTTAAAGTTGGGATGGTAGCATATTGATATTTCTTAATAATTAAAATATAATGAGGACATTTATTCCAGAAAATTCTGCTTTCTACATTCTTTCCCCCTTTTCCTGCCTGTATTTAATAGCTGAATGAACTGAGCAGCACAGACACTCCAGACATAGCAAAATGGCAACCAGAAAATGATGCTGATGTTTCTTCCCCAGAGATTTCTGGCAGATTTTGAGTTTTCTGTCTATAAACAATAGATTAGCTTGGGGGATGAATTTCTAACTCTTTTTTTTTTCCTGTTTTATACTTATGAGCCTAAATTAATATTTTAGTTTTGCTTGTACAATTATGATCTGTTAAGGGATATTTTGAGGCATGGGCTTTTCTTGGCTTTGTCACAGGAAAAAATGCCAATGGTGATTGTCTTTTAGATTTTTTTTTAATAGTGAAAGGATTCTTGATTTTGAAATTTGAAGCTTGTTAACTTCTAACTTTTACTATTAACTGAACAAATTTTACAGATTAATGTTAGAGAGATGGTAAATATCTTAATCCCACCATTTCTTTGTAGGTGTATATGTGCCTATGCGTAGGAAAGGGCTGGAAGAGATTATTGTGTCTTTAGAATTTAAATTTAAATTGAGCTCATTAATTTAGAGGAAATTCATATTCAACAAGTATTAAATGTGCACCTCTTTGTCTCTGTTAGCAATGAACAAAATAGACTATAGATTTTGCTACCATCAAGTTTACAGTCTAGTGAGGAAAGCAGATATCCAAAAGCACACAGGTCTGAGTAAGTAATTATTAATTATGATAAATGCAGTGAGTGAAAGTTAACAGTGGTATATGAGAGTGTAATGAGGGCATCTGAGGGTGTAAGCAAGCTTTTGGAAGGAAGTGACATTTAAGGTGAGACTTGAGGAATGAGTAGGAATTTGCCAGATTGGATCCTGAAAGAAGGGCCCAAGCACAGGAGTGTCTTGTACACAAAGGTCCCAAGATAGGCAGAAAGCTGGCTGCTTGCAGTGCCTGGGAAAATGGGGTTGTGAGGGGCCAGTTGTGAGAACTAAGGGTAAGGGCCTTGAGGGCAATGAATATGGAGAGGTGAGGAGAAGGCTTGCTAGGGCTTAACCAGATATTACTGAGGTTTGACCCTGGCCTACCTCCAGTCTTCTTGGGTTTTCTCCTCTTTCTTTATAACTCTTCTCTCTAGGCTCTCTGCGTCCTAGCCTGGTGTGTGTGTGTGTGTGTGTGTGTGTGTGTGTGTGTGTATACTTCTGAATATGTCTTAAGTCCTGAGGACACACCTTGCTTGCCCTGGCCATAGGGTCTCTATGGAAACTGACAAGCTGTGTCTATTTCCTTAAATGCTACCTGTCTCCACCACAGGGTGCTACCCACCCCAATTCTCTCTCTCTTTTCTCTCTCTCTCTCTCTCTCTCTCTCTCTCTCTCTCACACACACACACACACACACACACACACACACACACACACACACAGGCTTATCCTTTTTCTAGTCTGGTTTTTATTTGGATATAACCTCCCCAGGGAAGTTCCTCCACCCTTCAGGAAGTCTCAAGTTGTTTTGTTAGCACTCATGTTTAACCATGGGTTTTTTTGTGTGTGTTTTTTTTTAACATTTAATTCAGTATTTAATTATACAATCTTTTGGATGATTATTTGATTACCAACATAAACAGTAAGCTTAGTGATAGTAAGGACCATGCTTATATCTTTACTAGAGGCCTGGTGCATCTGTGCACCAGTGGGGTCCTTCAGCCTGGCCTGAGCCCTCTTGCAATCCGGGACCCCTGGGGGGATGTTGTTCTGCCGGATTCCACTCTGCTCTCACTCATCCTGGCCCCTCTGCTCCTGCTGCTGCCACCGCCACTCGCCACTCAGTAGCACGCTGCCATGGAGGCTGGAGAGGCTTGTGCGGCTGCAGCTGCGCTCGCCAGCTGTGAGCCTGGTGTCTGGTGCCCCTCAGTCAGCTGAGTGGCGCTCCCGCTGTGGGAGTGCACTGACCACCAGGGGGCAGCTCCTGCATTGAGCGTCTGCTCCCTGGTGGTCAGTGCATATCATAGCAACAAGTGAAACAGTCGTTTGGTCGCTTAGGCTTTTATATATATAGATTACTCTAAGTTTCTAAAGTCTAGTAAACAGTAGTCTCTCATTAGTTATGGAATAAAGGAAAGAAGGAAGGAAGGAACGAACGAAGGAGGGAAGGAAGGAGGGAAGGAAGGACTGGAATTCAAAGATAAAACTAAGATAGTCCAGTAGTTTTAAAAAGGTTTTGATAACATGTTCCATTGGTTAAAAAGTTTTTTGAGCATGCACCCTCAATATGTATGTTGGTTGTAAGTTTTATGTAAAATAAAAACTATTATAAAACATACATAAAATAGAAATTTTAGAAAGATTAAAGATGAAATATTAAAGGGACTGCTAATGGTGATGACATCTTATTAATAAAAATCTCAGGTCACTCAGGATAATGTTTATTGTTTATGATACTGGATGTAAATCAATTTTTAAGTATTTTTTTATTTTGAAGTTGGGCATTCTTTTTCTTAAAAAATATGTTTTTATTGATTTTAGAGAGAGGTAGGGAGAGGGACAGAGGATAGAAACATCAATAATGACGGAGAATCATTGATCAGCTGCCTCCTGCATGCTCCCCACCGGGGATCTAGCCCACAACCTGGGCATGTGCCCTGACCCGGAATCTAACCATGACCTCCTGGTTCATGGGTCAGTGCTCAATCATTGAGCCACACTGGCCAGGAGGGGAGACAACTTTATGTCAGATTCAACTGAATGTTAACTGCTTTTTTCTAGTAATGTGATTAATGAAAAATTACTTGGATGAGAGAAATCAGCTTCACATTTTCTTACTCTTCTCTACAGATTAATACCATATTTAATCTGTAGTTTCTTTAATGTTTTTAGAACCCTTCCCATCGGGGGAGGGCTCATTTCATTATAACTAGCCAATTCAACCTGTAATTCTACTTAAATGGAACCTTAAAAGGATAGTACGGGGGTGTAGTCTCCACACTTTCACATTATATCTTCCACTCTTTCTGAAAGATACCTCTTATACTAGACTGTCAACAGGAATTGTGACAGAGACCAAATAAAGGCCCAAGTTATTTATGGCCCTATTAGATAAACACATTTAATATAAGATAATATTTTTAAAATTTATTGATTGATTCTAGAGAGAGAGAGACACTGATTTGTTGTTCCAGTTATTTATATATTCATTGGTTGATTCTTGTATGTGCCCTGACTGGGCATCGAACCTGCAACCTTGGTGTATTGGGACAACACTCTAACCAACTGATCTACCCGGCCAGGGCTATAAGGTAAAAATTTTTGAATGTTAATTCCACAAGTCAATGAGTTGTCTGACATGACCATTGGACACATGTACCCTTTTGGAGACAAGTGGTCTAGTGCTGGAGACAGACATAAACAATGAATTCATTCCAAGTGGTGTTAGACCACTGGGGGGTTAAAATCTGCTGATAGAGAGGTGTTCCACCAAGTGTTTGCCTTTTGAGCTAGATTATGAATGCAGGAGGAGGCAATTGGGTAGGAGAGGGGTGGAGGAGGAGACTCAGGGCATTTGAGGCAGACGGAACCAACACAATGTTCATGTTCATGATGTGCTGTTGGAGGAATCTGGTTGTGAGGGCCAAGATGAGGTAGTTTGTATGTCGCAAATAAGGGCTCACTATTGACAAGATCTACGTGAGCGTGGAAATAATAACAGCAGTAAAAAGGGGCTCACTCAAATTTCATGTTCTTTTAGTATAAAAGGAAGGTACATAAACACATCTCCTTTACTCCCCTTCCTCATCTTGTTAATAGAGAAGGGGTAGGTTGAAATACAATTATGAACAAATTGGAATGAAGGCTGGTAACAGAGGATGGAGGTGTGGGGAATGAACAATCAGACTACCAACCTCAGAATGTGATCTTAAGAAGATGAATCAGGTATCCACCCTAAACTGCTTACATAGCAACAGGCTTTTGCTCTTTGCTTTGAAGCTGTAAGAGTGAGATAGCACATTAACCTATTTATTAAAGAACTTTACCCATTTTCTTCTTCTTTTTTTTTTTTTACCATCCAGAAAATCACAACTAGACAAAGGTTTAAAATTTTAAAAAATTATTTCTTGTAATAAAGAACTCATATAACCAAACAGTCATCATATTCCTGAAACTTTTCAAGTTTATTCAAATGGAAAAGTTCTCTTTTGTAGTCTTTTACCCCATAACATTGATCTTTTGCCAATGTAGTTTCAGGGCAGTATCAACTGGAAATTTTTATCAGGTATCTTATTTTCTCTCAGTTATAGTTTTACATGTTACACATTTACACGATTTCTTCCTGTCTTGGTTATGTCTGTCCTCTGTTAAATTTGAGGTTGATAAAGGAAAGCACTGTTTTGGCATAGATGAGGGATATGTTGTAGGTTTGCTTTTTTCCCCTTGGGGCAGTATGAAGAGCAAGGAGAAGTAAGGCTCAAACACAGTAATTTGGCTTGAATGATTCAGTCACTTAATCTTTATCATATTGTAAGAGCAGTCTATTCATGCTTCTCAGAGGTTTTAATTTAATGCCAATTCCGCATTCAATAGGGTAAGATAAAATTCAAATCTAAGGTCCTTTGGGAATGCCTAGCCTTATATAGCTGAGAACTTTTCCTGCCCCTGTTGAGTTCTTTGTAAGAGGGTGGACTCAGAGAAAATCACCTTAGAGTGGCCACCAGCAGGAGGTACATCTGATTAACTTCTTAAGATGATTTGTTTAGATCTATGTAAAGGGTATGTGTTTAAATATACTAAGAAATAAGGCAACATATGTGAGGGGGATTTGTAAGAAAGGCCTTGAATGGCAGTTTGAAAATGGTATGCTTAATTTAACTTGTCATCCTGCAGTTAAATTTTTTGTCTTACTTATATCTCTCTTTTTCCTCCACAGTTGTACAATGGTAGATGGAGTGATGATTCTTCCTGTGCTAATGATGATGGCTTTCCCTTCCCCAAGTATGGAAGGTAAGCGGCTCACAGCTGTTTGGGTAGCTTAAAGTGTACAGTTGTGTGCCACATGGTGACGTTTCGGTCAAGGACAGATAAACATATGCAATGGTGGTTCTATAAGATTATAATGGAGATGAAAGATTCGTATCACCTGGTGATATCATAGCCACTGAAAGGTCATAGTACAACACATTACTCACATGTTTGTGGAGATGCTGGTGTAAACAATCCTGCACTATCAGTCGTAAAAAAGTTAGCACATACAATTATGTACGATACATGGTACTTGATAATGATAATAAATGACACTCTGTTACTGGTTTATGAATTTACTATACTTTTTATCATTATTGTAGAGTGTACTCTTTCTACTTATTAAAAAAAGTTTGCTGTAAAACCATATACCTTGTCTTTACCACATCTTTTCATTGCATCATTTTCTCTTTCACTTGACTTAATCTCGTATTGTTTTATACAGTAAAATGCTGTACAGGCTTGTAGCCTGGGAGCAATAGGCTATACCATGTAGCCAAGTTATGTAGTAGTCTATACCATCTACGTGTGTGTGTGCATGCACTCTATGATATTTGCACAATGATGAAATCACTTAAGGATGCGTTTCTCAGAACAAATCCCCATCTGTAAGTGGTGCATGAATGTTCTGTGTATGGTTTGGCTTACTGTAAACAAGTTTGTTTGTTCTTAATCCTATCAGATTTAGCACTCCTCTCCTCCCTCCCTTTATTATTACTTTTTAAAGCTGTTTTTTAGGTTCAGAGCAAAATTGAAAGGAATGAACAGAGATTTCTCATACCCCTACACCTCCACATGCATAGTCTCTCCCATTATTAATATCCTCCATTAAAGTGGTACATTTGTTATAATTGATGAACCTATATTGATACATTATAACCACCCAAAGTCTATAGTCTACATTAGGGTTCACTCTTGGAGGTGTACATTCTATGGGTTTGGACAGATGTATAACGACATGTATCCACCATTATAGTATCATACAGACTATTTCACTGCTCTGAAAATTTTCTGTGCTGCACCTGTTCATCCCTTTCCCCTGCTACCCTTAAGCACTAGCAACCACTGATCTTTTTACAGCCTCCATAGTTTTGCCTTTTCTAGAATGACGTATTGTTGGAATCATGCAGTGTATAGTCTTTTCAGATTGACTTCTTTAACTTACTGATAGGCATTTAATGTTCCTCCACATATTTTCATGGCTTCATTTTTTTTTTTTAGCACTGAATAATATTCCATTGTCCGGATGTACCAGTTTATTCATTGACCTATTAAAGAAACATCTCAGTTACTTCCAGGTTTTGGCAGTTATGAATAAAGTTGCTATGAATATTGGTATGCAAATTTTTGTGTGGAATTAGTTTTCAGCTCCTTTGGGTAAACACCAAGGATTATGATTGCGACATTGTATGGTAGAGTAGGTTTAGTTTTGTAAGAAATTACAACCTGTCTTCCATAGTAGCAGTACCATTATGCATCCCTACCAGCAATGAATGAGAGTTCTTGCTGTTCCACATCCGGCCACTATTTGGCATTGGCAGCATTCTGGATTTTGGCCATTCAAATAGGAGTTGGTTTAATTTTCAATTTCCCTGAAGACATATGGTATGGAGCATCTTTTCATGTGCTTATTTGTCATCTGTGTATCTTTTTTGATGATGTATCTGTTGAGGTCTTTGGGTCATTTTTTAAATCAGGTTGGTTGTTTTTTTATTTTTGAGTTTTTATATATTTTGGAAAATAATCCTTTATGAGATGTGCCTTTTGCATATATTTTCTCTCAGTCTTTTGCTTCTCTTCTCATTCTCTTGATATTGTCTTTCACAGAACAAAGTTTTTAATTTTAGTGAAATGTCTGCCTTAATTATTTTTTCATGGATCGTGCCTCTAAAAAGTTATTGCCATGCCCAAGGTCATCTAGGTTTTCTCTTGTTACCCAATAATATTACATTATGCAAGATTACATAATGTGGGTTACATTAAATTTCTGTTGGACATTGTGTTGTAAATAATTTGGGTGTCTACTAGTATAGTGTAGGTTCTGGTGCTAAGCAATGCTGTTAAAAACATTTTACTAATATTGCAGTGATTTTAATTAGTGCCAAGAGGGTATGAAATAAAGATCCTGCATGGCAAGTTTAAAGTAATTAGAGGTGTTTTAACCAGAAGAGAGGTTGGGTCCTAGGTTGAAGGGATTAATAAGAAGAAATGGGCTGGAAAGATTTGATGGGTTAACAGTAGTTCTCAGCTCAATTATATGACCTTCCCAGGGACATTCGACAATGTCTGGAGATATAATAGCCAAGTTTCTAGAAATTTTCCTTCTCTTTTTAATTGCTAAACACTGATCACTACAATAAAAACTAAAGAATGTCGTGGAATGAAGTTCCTCCAAATTCTATGCTTTTAGTTCTGTGTGATATCAAGAAGTTCCTTTGGATTTCATTTGATTTCATGGATGTGGCACGGTCAAAAGAAAAAGAATGTGGAAGAGAAATTGAGGTGGGAATGTAGTATGAATAGAGAAGAAGTGGAGAAGGAATGAGGAAATGAGAAGGGGAAAGGGCATTTATGGATCAATATTATCAACCACAACATTGGTTTCTTTTTCTTGCTTTTAGATCTTAAGTTGCCCAAAGAATCTAGCAAATGTCTTTTTAATGCCACAGTAACAATCCTATATAATAAAAGCCTAATATGCTAAGTGTCCGACCGTTCATTCAACCATTCGACCAGTCACTATGACGCGCACTGTCCACCATGGAGCAGATGCTCCAACTGGTAGGTTAGCTTGCTGGGGGTTTCTTTTTCTTGCTTTTAGATCTTAAGTTGCCCAAAGAATCTAGCAAATGTCTTTTTAATGCCACAGTAACAATCCTATATAATAAAAGCCTAATATGCTAAGTGTCCAACCGTTCATTCAACCATTCGACCAGTCACTATGACGCGCACTGTCCACCATGGGGCAGATGCTCCAACTGGTAGGTTAGCTTGCTGGGAGTCTGGCCGATGGGGACTGAGCGAGACGGGGTGGACATGCCCTGGAGACCTCCTGTGGTCCCTCCCTGACTGGCCAATCTTTCCTGCGGTCCCTCCCTGGCCTCTAAAATATTTCTTCTAATTAATTTCCTTTCCATGTGCAGGAATCCATGCACCAGGCCTCTAGTATGCAATGAAACGAGTTCGTCTGGCTGAAATGGAAACAGATTACCACTAAGGTTTTGCCATTTTATCTACCACCACCTCTAGGATGTTTACAAACAAGGAAAAGAACACACATTCTTTAGTTGCAGTAGCTTTTTATTTTATTTTTTTTAAACAGAATATCCAGTGAGTGCTACAACCTAGAGGGCTCTAATCATAATTGCAGTTGCCTTAGTCCTGTCTTCTCTCCATAACTCAACCTGTTAACTGTCAAACACATATTCTATGAAAAGACTCTTTGTTTTTGTATATTTACTAGGAATTTTTTTAAAGCCACTGAGAACCCCTAATTGTAATACACTCTAATATACTCAACATTAGTCATAAAGCAAACGTTAAGTACAAAATACTTAACCAAAAGAGGTAAATAATAGGGCAGATACAGAAAATCTTTATACAAGCCCCATTGTCTAGTGAAGAGCTTTAGACTACCAAGTTTAAAAGGAAGCAGAACTATGTTTGATATTTACAGAGCAGCTATGATGGTCCTTATTAACTGTGCTTCATTGAAGCTGATGGCATTCTTGGGGAATAAGTAAGAAACTCATAGAGATTTTGTTCTAATATACTTTGTGTGGTAGTTACTCTTCGTTGCCTATGAAAACAACAACAACAAGCTTTTTCTCCTTTGTCTCCCAGTGACTCCCAAATGTCTCTTAAATACTGGCTAGAAATAGTTTTATCTCTTCAAATAATAGGCCCCAAACAGTGATTTTGGTAGAATTTGGCTAGTATCAGTGTATTTTAGAACGTTTCTCACATTCTATGCAATCCTAAATGCTCTGGGGCCATAAAGACCAAATAAGTTTGGAAAATACTCTTTACTATAACTGCCCCTCTGATGATTAGAAGTAATATTTAGGGAGTGGTTAATATGTGTCAAATGTTGGACTAGCTTCTTTGTATGCAGTATTTCCCGTAATCCTCATGATGACCCTAATGAGGTAGGTTTTGAGGGATGTGCTTTTGAATTGGTTAAAACTCTTGCTTAAGGCTAGAGCCAATGAAAGGTCTGATATACTTTGAGGAATAGTGTGTAGGAGTTTCAACCATTATCAGTCTTCTTCAGAATTTTGCATTTTTCTGGTACCTTAAATTAGCTACACCCACATTCACATTATATCTGGTGCATGCTAGAATCCAGCGTAATCCAGTCTGCTGGAAAGGTTGAGATGAAATCTTGTAATAGCAAATGGCGAGGCTGCTTCACCTGAGTTTGTGTTTTTCGTCTTGTCTCTCATACCACTATCCATTTTTCATGCTCATTATATATACAACTCTAGCTGCAGGAAGAGTTTTATTTGCTCTCACAGAGAAGAGCACTTGAGTCCTAATTACCCATATAGCCTTCCTTTCCCTTCCCATTAATAAGACTAATCATGCTCTAACACCGCTATTATGCCGCCAGGGAGAAGTCCATCTTTGTTCCAGCACCTCCACGTTTGGCTTTCCCGTTGTCCCTGTGAGCATTTGCAGGTGGTGACCATGACACAAGTGCTTCAAATGCAATATTGCTTCTTCAGAAATATTTCAGAGCTAAGATGACCCACATTTTATTAAATTTGTGAGCCATCGTTAGATTTTACTACACTAAAGGAGTCTGGACTTTGCAGAGTTTTGAGCAAGAGATTTTGGCCTAAATTATTTTCAGTGTTGACTTGAAAATTGGTTAATTTTTACAGATTTTAGTATTTCCAAAGCTATCAGCACTCAGACTTTCCAGCCCAATTACCCAATGAGGGGAGGACGGGGATAACTTCAAAGGACTTTTTGTTAGG